GACAAGACAATTGGATAGTTCAATGTGTTCTACCCTGTTGGTTGGTATCTAATGAGTTTAAAGTATACTTTGCAGAAATGATCTCTTTGATGAAGTCTCTATTTTCACCACCTGTGACTTTCTGTATACTGTGCTTCTTCCCCCATTCTTCATATCACACCAAGAATGATTAGCTCTCACTGCATATCCTCTGATTTTACAAGCTCTTGCTTACCAGGTTTATCTTCCTGTTCAAATACCAGACACCAGCTCAGATCAGCCTGCTGATAATTGCTCGCTGCTCTTATTAACATCATCCTGCAGGTTCTTTATGGCAATAGAATGCATCACCATGTAATATGAGCACTGCTCCTAACTCCATTCATCTGAAGCTGGGAAAAAGTTCTGAGGTTCCTCTTCCCCTTGAGAGAAATCAAAGTTCAGGAAGCCTTTAGAGATGGTAAGCAAGGACCTCCAGCATCCTCCCAACCCCAGAGATCAGAAAGGTGTGCAAGAACACTGAGTGGCAATGTGCTCCAGCAGGCTAAGATTTAGGACCCCTGGAGTGCTTGATCAAGAGAGTAAGGAGTTGGAATGGGCTCAAAAAAATTACAGTGATTAAAAACTTGAAATGTTTTGTGAGAACCATCCAAATTAGTTTTCTTCCCAGTCTGTGCTTTGCTTATGAAGAGCAGTGTGTGCAGACACTGTATATGCAATGCTGTCAGCACTTCATTAAAGACATTTCATCTGGCTCAAAGCACAGCATTTTAGCTGTTGGTAACCTCCCTGACAGGAAATATTTCATAACCTAAGATTTATGCACATGAAAGCACACAAAGAAAGTACCAATGAGGCAAACATCAAGGTGGGTTAGCCCCTGAACTTCTGCACATAAGTTGTAGAAATGTATTAGAGTTACAACTCACTTCATGCTTGTTTTCTGGAGACAAAACAATAAATTCAAGAACATATAAGAAGTCAGTGCAGTCGTTCATAGGTGTATCACCAATTATCAACTTTAGTCAATACGGTCCTTCCAATGCCCTTGCCTCCCAAGTCTCTGGAAGCCCATGCTTGCTTGATATTTGATCAGGCATAGAAACTGTGCGCCATTTCCCTCTATCTAGTGGATCAGCAGCCTCTAAGAAACATTCACTCACCCAGCATTCAGCCATCCCTTGCCAAGCTTGTACATGAAAACACTGTATTAAGAACCACAGTGAAAACTGACTTGCTGCCTCTTCAGTCTATTACTAATGGGAACCAGTACTGTCTGGATGGCATCTCAAACCTGAAGGGAAAACACCTCTCCAGAAAAAAAAGGACTGAACAAAGAAAAAGACTTTCCTGATCCGGTTCTCACCTCATCTACACCTAAAAACAGAAAGGTAAGGCTTTGAATCTCTCAAATAAGGAAAAAGTAAGGAAAGAGGAGTTGTTTAGGGACTTTCTGGCAGAGTTAGTTGAAAAGCCAGGACGTTCAGGCAGGTTGTCCTCTGGAGTGTGAAAAATGACTTCTGCTGTGATCCAGGATGGGGCAAACAAGGCTGACTGGGGCTGAAGTCTGGGTGCTGGCTAAGTAGTCTTTAGGCAGACAGAAGACCCTCAAAAAGGAAGAGCTGCAGAACTCTAAAGATTACTATAAGAAAAAGCATAGTGAAACAGAGTCCTTGCCTGCTCTATCTCAACAGTTTAAAGTAACCTTGAATTACAAGACTTGAGAGCAGCAGTTCATATCAGTGCTGCTACTTCACCTTTTAGCTCAACGCCCAGACTTTGATCCTCAAAACCAGCTTCTGGGAGCTCACCTTTGAACTTGCAGACTCAGCTGGGGGTATCTATCAAGTTTTCTGCAAGATAGGAAAATGACCAGGCAGAAAGCCAAGAATGGTGGTAGAGCACAAAGCCAACTTTTTTTTTTCCTTGGACTTTTTGAGAATGCATCTGATATTGAATTTTCTTCACAAGTTTATAGCACTGCACTATTTATTTTAAGCTTCCTTTTTATTGTTGTGCATCAAGCGTTTTCTCTTTTGCACTGTTACAGGCAATACAGTTTCATCATTTGCGGTGCTTTGGAAAATAAACACAGGTTTTCCTAAATGAAATTGTTATAATAAGGAGGAAACTTTCAGAACAAAAGTTTCAAGAAAAATCATGTAGGAATTATCCAGACATAAAATATGATAGTTCATATTATCATTTAATGAAACATTCTTAAGCATTCTTATAAAATATTTCAGGAGGTTGTGCAATGTTGCACAAAACATGAAGAAACCAACTTAACCCATAAGTTTAAATCATTATATAAACAAAGCCATAAAAATCAGGGCCTACAAAACTCATAAAAAATATTTCACTAATCATCTCAGAATATTCATGAAACACTCTGGAATATTCCTAGAATATGCTACCCCTCTACCTAACAATATTCAGACACCATTGCTTGTAGTATAATAAAAAGAAGTGCAAAGCAACATTGGCACTACAGCCACAGTAAGAAAAAAAAAGAAAAGACCCTCTCATCCTTCTGTTGGTATCACTCACTAGATGTCCATATAAAGAACCTCTCACTGGTTGATTATAGCTCTGTTTCCCAGACTTTGGGAACTTTTTTCCTCCAAATCATGGCCTGCAATGTTAACCTGAGTGAGGTTTTGTAAGGTAGCCTGCAGTCTCTCTGGACAGAGACCTTAAAATCACTGTAATTTACACAAACTCTCACTTTTGCTAAGCAGCAGCCAGAAAAGTAGTCCCCCTCAACAACCCCATACAAAGTTGTTTCAATGTTTATTAAAGGCAGATGTGGCACAGCGAGCTGCTGCCAGATAATGATGGGCATTTTCTCATGAGCAGTTAGGCTGCTCTTCCCTACTCTGCAGCTCTGAGACAGCCTCCAGCAACATGCTACTTCATCATCCAGAAAATCTGCACTGCACATTATTCCTACTGGACAGCACAGGGAGTGTTTGTCTTGAGGATCCAGGAGCAGCAGTGCTCCTGTTGTGAAGGGGAAAGCAGACTGAAGTAAATGACAGCAAATTCAGAACAGGAGAATTAATCAAGAAACAAAAAAACTCCCATGACTTCTTTTTTTCCTTTCCTTTCTTCTACCTTCCAAGTAGGGAAGGAAGATGCAATTTTCCAACATAGTCAGCAGATGCATTACACACATATCAATCAAGAATGTCTGCATGAACAGCAGATTGACTTCTTTCAGATGCTCTTGACTTTCTGTGTACATCACACACATACGCAGTGGGCCCAATATGCCCAGGAGATACTGAGCTTTATCTTCAATTCATCTGCACATATACAGTGAGCCAATGCATTCTAGATGCACAAACTTGCTGTGCATGTGGGATAAATGCAATCTGTGTGTGTACAATAAACCCAGGTGGTGATAACTTATTGCTCAGGCACAAACTGACTGTACCTAGTAGAGTAAGTCTGACATGCATTGATACATCGGACTCACTGGAAATGCTGTATAAAGTTGATCTACACAGACTTCATCCAACAGACTGCTGCAGAAAGCATTGGGGCAGTTGACTACAAGTCCTGGGGCAAACCTGGTGTTTTACCCTTCCCCATGCCTCTCACAGTCCCCGGGGTTTCCCTGTGTGACCCCAGACACAGAAGCAGGGTGGAAAGGGGTGCAATACCTTCTCAGGATACAGAGCTATTAACATGGAGGAAAAGCCAACCTGTGTACAAAGTCATCCTTCCTGCCTTTGGGCTGCAGCTTGAAGCTGGCCACTCAAAGCTTTGGCGAACACAGTCCCAGTGGTTCTTGCACCTGTGTTCAGTGCCAGGAAGTTACAGTGAAAGAGAAACTACAGCTCCCCTGTTCTTAAAGACTAAAAATGAAAATTGACCAGAATGAGTGAATATTAATGTCCAGTATAAAGTTCATGAAAGATGTAGTGGTTTGTTTCTTTTTGTTTTTAATAGGAACTCTGTTTGCTTTTAACTGCCATTGCATGCTGATAAAGTCATTGAATAATTCCCTACGCTGTCTTCTCTTCCCCCATTCTTCCAATCATTCCAGCTCAGATCCAAGGAGTACCATGAAACTTTTGGACTTCTTTTGTGACCTTGTGTTGTGCTGTATCTCCCTTTCTATCATTCCAGTACCACACTCTACAGATTTTAATTGAACAAAGCAACTCAGGATCATTAGCAAATGGTGCAAACTACCACCCTCCAAATTGCTATGCAGGCAAGAAGTAAGTGTGGGCTGGCACTGTGTGTGTGAGCACTGTACAGCCCTGTGCGCTTCAGAAAATGGGTCAGAGGTGCACCACCTCCACCTGTCTTCTATTCCAAGTGTGCCTTGTGTGCATCAGGGAAAACTGGTACCTTCAAGTGCCTTGGGGTCCGTGTCAGCAACTGTGGAATACGGGTGGTTTGTCTCTCGGAGGCACACAGGGCTGTGTGCACTCACCTCTGCTGCCTGCAGTGTGGCGGGTGGGCAGGGTGCGTGCCCCAGGGACCTGCTGCCCCTGAGGTGTTGCGAGGAGCTTCGTGCCCAGGAGGCTGTGACCACCGAGGGTCATGGGATCCCTGCCATGGGATCTCCTCAGAGGTGGCCTGTGTGCTTTGGGCCGGGCTCTCCTGGTGGGTATAAATCTGCTTGGGGACCGTGCACCCCTGGGTTAGCCCCTTACCAGTGGGCCGGGGCGTTGCGACTGGCGTGCGGTCCCGGTAGCCACCTTCCTCCCAGAGCGGCGCGCTGCTCTGGTGGAGCTGGTCCTGGGAGGAGAGCCCGAGGCCCTCCGGTGGCGGCGGCGGCTCGGCGGGTCCCGTCCTGCCCCCACTGCGGCGGGTGTGGCCGGGCCAACCGCGGGGCCGCTCCGGAGCCGCCGCCACCTGAGCCCCAGGCGCGGCGGGCGCGGGGACCGGCGGGCGCGGACGGGGCGGTCCCAGCCCTCCGCGGGAGGCACCGAAGTTCCTCCGGCTTGTGCCAAGAGAGGCACGTCCCGGGGCGGGCACCGCGGCGGCGGGAGGAGGAGGAGGAGCGGAGCAGTGCCGTGCGGGGGGCGGGCGCGGTGGGCGACTGGCGATGACATTCGCGAGGAGCCCGCAAGCGGCGGCGCGGGAGAAGAAGAAGAAGGAGGAGGAGGAGGAGGATGATGGTTGCTGAGGCCGGTAGGAGCAGCCCCGTAATGTCACCATGTAAGTTTCAGCTCTTCCCTGCGCTCCGGGAGTGCCGGTCACCCCCTCGGCGAGCGGGCTCCTTCGTGGAGTGGGAAACTTCAGCTGGATATGCAGGGCTTCCCCTTTCAACCTCCTTCTCCCGCAGTAGTAGCTGATGAGTAATGTCAGGTTTGAGCTGTGCAGACAGGTAGGGCTGAAGGAATGGGGAAACGAAGAGTTTCACGTCGGAAGCTCTTGAGGGCACGGCAGGCACGGCTCTGCTCCGTCCGGGCTCCGGGTCCGCCAGCGACTGCCCCACGGGGTCCCGGATGGCCGCTGCCTTTCTCAGACCGCTGTAGTCCCATTTTTAGCACCGCTCTTATGAGCTTCCCCGTGCTTGAAGGCAAGTAGGGAAACCCTTGTCCCCGCTCGCCGCCCCCTGTGACCGCTGGTGCCCCGGCGCTCGCCCAGCCCCTGCGTCCCGGCTGGGGACCGTGGGTGCTCACGTCGAGGAGCCCCGTCCAGCACAGGCGGCGTTCCCAGCCCCCCAGGTGCGGTGCCAGCAGGAGCAAGGAGAAAGAGAGCGGGAGGGACGGGCGACCTCCATGAAATCTCCCCAGCACCGCCGCTCTCCTTCGAGAGCACTGCGAAGAGGAGGAGGCAGCGCGGAGCTCAGCCGCCGTCGGGGTGCGAGGGGCGGGTCGGTGGCTCGTCTGTCTGTGGGCCCGTCCGCCCGCCGCCTGGTCCCGGGCAGGCCACTCCTGTGGTCTCTAGGCGCTTTCCGCGGTATGTTTCGCCCTTACTGGCAGGTTCTTGTCGAAGGCAAGGCACTAAAGTTTGGGATTAGGCGTTTTGGCCGATGCGTTCACAGCCAGGTGAGAGAAAGCGACCTGTGGCTCGATCCGAGGGAATCACTGCAAGGGGAAGAGGGCAGGGTTTTCTGGCAGCGCACGGTGCAGCAGAGGCAGAAATGAGGAGTTCCTAAAGACCTACTGCTGCAGTGCTACGGAGTTGCAGGCATCCAGCGGATTAGTTGTCTGCAACTGGGAAAAAGTTCATTTTGAAAAGAAAGCCAAGAGGCTAAGATGGATCTGATACAGCTGGCACTGTTTAAATTAAAAAGGCAGTGGTTTATTTTTTTCATCAGTTTCCGTAAGCATGAGGGTGTTTTAACGGTTGAATGTAAGGATACTTAGGAACAAGTAATGCTTAACAAAATGAAAGTTTTAAGTGGAATTGTGTAATTAATCTTTCAAGACATTCGTGTGCTACAATTTTAAGCAAGGTTTTCAAAGTTAAAACCGACTCCTCTGTTAACCTGCAGGAACTAAACTGTGAGTTGTAATCATCTTGTTGTAGTTCCCTTTAGAGTGATTTAAGCTTAAAATACTTTTGTTTATAACTAATGTGAGGAAAAAAAAATAAATTGATGTTATCTTTCTTTTAATTTTAAAGTGTTAGCAACGTTTTTCCTTAATAGTTTTAGACATGTTGAAGACCAAAGAAAGCCATGTCAGCCTGCCTGAGGCAGAATTCACATCCTGCTCCAGGGAACTTTGCTGAAGCTTTGAACAAGGAAGATGGTGTTTTCAAATATGTGTTGGATGTTTTGAGACCATACAGTATACAAATGAAATGCTCCAGGATTATTCACATTTTGCGTATATGTTCTTGCAGAACTGTATGCTCCGTAAGAGGTGATGGTGTTAACTGGCTGCTGGCATGTAGAGTAAAAGGCTTAGTAGTTAGACATAGCAGGACTCTTAACTAATTTTAATTTTGAGCTATGTCAAGTTACCATCCATTTATGGTTTAGATAAATTACATGTCTGTTTTGCTCTTCTGGAATGAATTGTGAATAAGCTCATTGTCCCCCTATGTTATAGGAAATTAAAGTAGCAGTGAAGTGGACTGTGTTGAATTGGTAACTAGAGTGCATAGAATAATGCAACTCCATAGAAAAATTAGTAGCTCTTCTATGAGACTCCACAGAAGGTCCCATTCTAATTTTTCCACTTAAAAAAAAAAAAGTGTTAAGTGACACTGCTGTTGTGAGACTATATCCAAGTGAAATGGATGTACTCCTATTGTAGGTGTCATAATAGTTCCCAGATATGTTGGATAAAATGTTGTTTTGGTTCTTTGTTTGACAGTCTACAATGATGTGTTCAGAGCCACTAGCATCTTACCAGCTGGGAACAGAACAGGGCTTTCTCATTTAAATTGAAATAAAATAGAGAAGAAAACCCAGTAGGAATAGCATTCAGCAAGTTTAATGTATCCAGAGTTAAAGACTGAAATAAACCTTGTATGTTCTGAGATCTTTGATAGGGACTGGTTTGTTTACTCTTGATGTGGTTTAGTACATTGCTGTGCTGATACTTATTCTCTGTGCTACTGATGAATATTAAAACACAGAACACATCCTTTTAATACTATTTAAAATAGGAACACAGGACCAAAAGGGTCTCTTGAGCCGTCAAGTCAGTACTGTTATAGCAGGGGACCATATCATCCCTTGATAAGTTATAAATTAGCTCAGGACTGTTTGCCAGTTTTTCTGTTGAATTATTCATATGCTGTTTGGATTCTGTTCTAGATGTCAGTTAACAATAATGATCAAGAAAATGAACCTTAAAATAAATATAATGGGTATTAACAGGTGAATAATATCTGCAACCAAGTTGTGTTTTTTTTTAATACCTGGGAAGTATTTACCAGTTGCTCTGGCTTATTTTCACAAATGGCTGCTGATTGGATTGCCATTAGAAAAATACCAGGGATGGATTTTGTTATGGAAGAAGCCTTTTTGTTGGCAATGTGTTAGCTGACTTCCATTGCTGACAATGTCTTGTGTGAACAGGAGTGTTGCATACATCACAGTGTAAGGCTCTGAGCAGTTAGGTTTCTGAATCTTGGCTTTTTGCCAATGCAAGATCTCAAGTACATGGAAATAACTGATTTTGTCTCTCGTTTTTAGCATTCAGCTAGCGGTTATGATTTGTGACACAGATCTTCAAAAGTTCTCTCCAAAAGAAACAGGTCTAAGTCATGGTGCCTGGAATGTTTTGGTAGTGTGCTGCTTCTGTGGGCATTCTTGTTGGAGTTTGATAAACATCTCTGTCTTGTGAGCTCAGTTGATGTGGTGTACAGAAAATTGTTCTATACGTGGAGAATGTGGGTGGAGAAGGCAGGCTTGCTATTTTTTATGTATTTATTTATTTGGTAAAGAATTATGTGTTTTTTACAGTAATTGTATAATGATCTAGCCTTTGCCTAGGTTTAAAAATCTTTCAAGTTATTCCTTTCTGCCTTGTGATACACACTTATTTATGCTCTGTGCTGTTGCTGATTATCCATGTTCTTGAAATATTTCTGTTCTTGTACTGTTTTTTTTCTTGTGCTTCCTTTTGTGAAGAAGAGGAAACAGAATGTCAGCTAACACCATGACGTACTGGCTTGTAAGCGTTGCCACAATTCAAGTAAACATTAGTAAATAGAAATTGGCAAAATTAAATAGCACACTCAGAGTAATGCAGAATCTCCGATTCTTTAAGAAAGGCGCTAAAGGCAATGTGACTGGGCAAACTCACTCCAGACCTAGGCAACAGGTACTTGTCATGTTATTTTTTTCTTGAGTATCTCAGAAGTTATCTTGGATTCTCCAGCTATTCAATGAGAAAAATTTCAGCTGAGTTCACAGACATCAAAATTTCTGACTGCTGTAGCACACAGAAAATGCATCTATATGATGAAACCCAACACAGATTTCATCAGAATTAATAAATAACTGTTTGTGACTGTTTCCTAGTCTGGTGACTTTAACTGTGCCTGCTCAAAAGTAAACAACAAACAGAAAACAGTAATGCAACCACTTCTACAGATTTACTTTGGTAGATCATGCACCAGTCTGGCATGTATCTCATCAGTAGCTGCAAACTCTTTCTTCTGTAGAAACAGCAATATTCCTCTGTATCTATCTCAGCTGTCATGCTTCTATCCTCAGCATTTCCATTTCGTCACTCTTTGAGTCTACATGCATGCTGTATGTGTTTTCATACAGACCCCTGTTTAAAGTCTATTTTCTAAATAACTTCTATGGTATTGTGGATTTATGAGTTATATATGTTGATTAGCAACTGTTCCCAAAACTCAGCATTCTGCTGTTTGAGATTTTAATAGGGATTTTTTTGGTCATTAAGTTGAAGGACAATAGTTCTGTTGTTTGATAATCTGGTTATTTTATGTGTCTGGCTTCATCAAAGAGATTCTTGTATTTCAGACCCAAGTGTTTTCTGTGCTTGTCTTCAACACTTGTTAAGTTTGACTTTACAGTATCTCAGAAAAATAAATCAGCTTCAGATTCCTAACTTGATACAACTACCCATAAAGAACTGGACTTCTTTTGTAGTCAGATACTTGTGCCATGTAACACTGCTCTGAAGGGAAATCTGATCGCAGCAGTCTGTTGAAGTGCCATTTACCTGGGCCCAATTGGCCTCTAGCCACAGGAGTGGTTTCATGAACTACTACTTTCAGAAGTGAAACATTAGTTGTTCCTTTACAATGGTTTATCTTGCTGCATTGAGTTTGGCTTGTCTACATTGCAGAACTCCACTTTGGGGAGTAAGAGAGGCTGATATTGGGAAAGGATTTACATTTGCCCCCCGGTTTCACTGACGGGTTTGCAGCAATGAATGTCTGTGGAGCAGAGAAAGACTACTTTACCAACTTCAAAAAGATGATTTTTCTTGCCACTGAGTATGAACTCTGTACTTCCCTTCACTTGTCTCTTTCATATTTCTGTCCCAATAAATCATACTGGTGGCCATTCCAAATACTGTTTTTTTCCCTATTTAAATGCACTAGCTTGGAACACATTTGTGTTCACCGGTGTTTCTTCGTGACTGTTCATTTGTCATTCTTCCTTATATACTGTTGCTGGGAATAGACTTATTAAATATTTTGGGAATTCATTCTGTTAGAAATTTTCTCCCAGCATAAGTAGATAGTATCCTACTGAACAAAAGCCAGTTATCATCAAATAAGAGGGGACTGAGTTGGTCAAAATAATGCATGTTGTGTTTTATTACTTGTTGCTTACTTTTGCTTGTTGTTAACATGTTAAGTAAAAGGAGACAGTAATGTAATGGATCACGATTCATTTTGGATACACGGTTAAAAGTCTGACCAAATTTATGAAGTCTTTCTTGCTTCCTCTTCTACCCAGTATGGAGGAAATATTTTGGTTTTGCCATTAAATGTCCTGTATGCTTCAATGCAAAGGAACCTTTAAGTTCAAGCTAGAACTGATAATATTTTTTATATAATTGCATTTGTTTTATTAAATAATAAAGATGTCCCTGACTTCACTTGCAGCACACATAAGCCCATAGATTTTTTTCAAGGGAAGTTTCAGAATTTTCATTTAAGATGTCAGAAGAAAATGTAGCTATCAGAATATTAGCACTGAAAAATATGGAAAGGTGAGTAAAGGGCAGAGGCAGATTTTCACCTGCCTTCTTGATATAGTTAATAACAAATGCATCTGTATTATATATCTGTTTAAACCACATAAATGTGTATGCAAGTTATATAAGTAGATAGAGTAAAACTTTGCAATCTCCCCGAAAGAAACCTACACCTTAACTCTTTCAGGCTCTCATCAGATGGGCTACTTGTTTCTTTTACTGAAATAACTCGCACACCAACCTGCTTAGAAGCCTAGTGCTGACCAGTCTTCCACTTTGCTGTCTGCTAAGAACCAGACAGCATCATTTCTGACCCTTTTTAGCAGGCGTAGAGACTTTTGTCTCTGATTCAGCAACACTAGGGCCATCCATAATTTTCAAGTGCTACTTTATTTCTGCTAGTTACTCTAATTTGACTAACAACAGTCTTTTCTCATTTTCTTGGCTTGTTGTAAAGCTTCTAAAGTCTTGCTCACTTTTTTTTTCCACAGGATGTCTCATGTAAGTGAAATGTGGTGCTATCATTGGAAATGGAAGCTGCAGCACTGTCTCTGCTTGTTTACTATGTATATCTTATATATGCAGCAAGCAGGTAAGTCATCAAATTATCTTTTTGTTTTAATAAATGGCCTAGGACCAGAGTTTGATGACTAAGGATTATGCTTACCTATGACTGAATTATGTACAACATAACATTTTGATCAAAGTGATGCATTATAATTATTAATCATGATTTGATAAGTTGGGTCATATTTTCTGATACTGCTGAATTTTCTTCTTTTTTTAAATTTACTGTTGTTAATTGGCTTTGGTTTTGTTTTCTTTGACTTTGAATTCCTTCATTTTGCCCGTCCATTTGCATTTACCTTGTTAATACCTACTTTTCTTTTGAATTTCTTTCAGTTGTTGGAATATTGCAAGTTCTTTCATTTTCCACAGTACTGTTTGTGCTTATAGATGATGCATTCAGTACCCCTTCACTCTAATTCTGAGCTGTAAAATAACTGTAGTGTGCTTATTATTTTTAAATGCTTTTATGATTCAAATAATAGAAACATTCCTCAGCAAACTGTAGTACATAAGGTAATCCTGCGCTGTAAAGAACAGTCATTTTAAACTTAGCATCATCTTGGTCTGTAGTGATACTTGAGTACAGAGTAATGTAACACATTCCAACTGTTTTCTTTAAACATATGAATGAGAGATTTCATTTACTAAATGTCTTTTCCTAACCACTAAGAGTGCAAAATATTTTAAGAGCTCCAGCTGCTTTACTGGAAAAAAAAAATAAAAAAGATCTGGAGTTTATTCTGGAGCATATGAAAATTTTGGAGCAGCTTTTAGTGCTCAGCTAATTCCATATCAGATGGGTAGTTTTGCTGTTACAGACTTGCCATTGGAAAAAAGGATGGTTTATATATAGAGTTTCTAGCTTCTTTGATGTTGTTTTTGCTTTAAATAAAAAGTGCAGTGTTGTGTTTTTTTTAACTTGAACTTGTTATTTAGAGAAAAAACAATGCAGTAGCTGTACAGTAGCAGTTTCCAGCTTCATGTCACTTTAATAGGTGTTTTCCATTTCCATTAAATTGTGTAGCCAGAAATGTACTTAGGGCCTAACTCCCACCCGTTGCTCTGTTGGCTGATGGCCTTTGTGTTCCTGGGCAATAAGTGATCCTTGGTGATGCAGCTGCCATCCTCAACACAAAGTAAAAAATCAGCAAAATCTGCTCTAATTTCAGCTGCTGGGGGCTGTTATTGGGTGACTAGAGCATTAAACTAGAACATTAAGACCCAAAGACTATTAGTCTTTGCTGATTCCTTTTGATAAAAGTTTAGTTATCAAAAGTGCAGGTGACACAGCAAGAGTAAGTTTCATGAGCCAGAAGGTCCTAGTCAGTATGCTGTGAGTACAGAGAAAGCCAACTACAAATGAATTCAGCTAACCACAGCATACCGTTGCTGCCTGTGCTGGTACTAAACAAGTAGATGGGTCAAAAGCCCTTTGCCAAACTCCAATATGCATTTCTAAAAAATCATATATGCCCCTGGGTTAACTACTTCAACAGTAAAGAGGTTGATGCTGTTGGGTTGGTAAAGCAGGCAAAGTGATGTTGTTAATTTGGTCTGCTCTATTACAGTTATTGTCCGTGCCCTTTCTTAAGGTGCTGGCTTGGTATGTAGGAGACTCAGAAACAGGTCTCTGGTGGAAATCAGGGCAGAGACCTGAACGTGAGTCTTCTGCATCTCAAGTATGTGCCCCTGGGGGCTTTTTCTTTGTTGCTTTGGCTGGGAAAGATTTGAAATCTTCAAAACTTTCAATAAATGGAAAAGACATTTCCCTATCTGTGTGAATGATGAGTAGATAAATAAGGTAAACTGCAAACACCCAGGTTCAGTAGACAAATGTTTGCTGTTCGACAGTGAGAGAGATCATAGATAGTCTCCTGTTAATACTTGGCTGAAATGAAAATGAGACATTAACCTTTACAGCAACCTGTCATTTGGTAGTACTTGCCTGTAGACCCTCAGGGCTCATGTTTCTTTTTATGTTGGTTATGCTGCAAAATGGAGTCTTTTCTTTATATGTATAGGTTATGCTGCAAAATGGAGTCTTTTCATCTGTTGGGACTTTTGTTGCTTCAGTGGGTTTTCTTTTTGTTGTTTTTTTTTTAATTATTTTTAAAATAGAACAAGGCAGACAAGGTGGGAAGCACTGCTGCTCCTGCATTATTTTGTGTTCTTAAAAGATATTGGTCACTTTGGTTGTGGATTCATGCAGTATCCATAATCTCTCTGGCATCTTAAGTTTTACTGAAATTACTGTAGAAATATCATAAAACCTGATATTCATCCAGCCTCACTAGAAAGCTATAAATTTAGGAATCTGTAAACTTAGAAAGCTATTGGGGGCTATTAATCTTTGCCTAGAGGAGGTTAGATACAAGTGAGGGATTTAGATTATCAGGTACAAGTGTTACGGATTATTTAAGGGGCAACTCATACGGATAAAAATATCAGTCATGCTGTGACATTGAAAAAATGCAAAAATAATAATTTTATAGTTTAACCTGAGAAGAATTACAGGACTTGGCCTCCTTTCAGAAACAAAGCTTAGGAGAAGGATTACACAGAAAAAAAACTTAGAACAGAAGCAGGATGGTCTGTGAAAAGGATGTTTAGCCACAAAATTATGAGTAAGGCACTGACAAACAGGTGCAGCAGTGGAGCATAATCCCAAAATACAGGTGTGGTACCTCAGAAGAATCAACAGATGGACTCTGACACTAAGAAGGGCAGGAAAAAAATATAAAAGTAAATAAATTATGAATCTCAGCAGTCGTAACTGTTTTCGCATACTGGCTTCAGATCATGTGTTGTATCATGAGGTGAAGTTACAGAGCAGCCCTGTAAGCAACTTGACATGTTTCCATTCCTGTCTAGGATAGACATCCCTGAAGGTTTTGAGTTAGTCATTTGGCTGTGCCTCAGTTTCCCTGCCAATAATGATGAGTGCGTGTCTTGCTTCCCTTGTAAACAGCTTGCCTACCTTCCAGTGAAAGGACTGTATAGAGGCTGCTGAGATGTTAGAATGGTGGCATTTTAAACAGAATTAGTTAAATCCACTTTTATCTGAGATTCAGGCATTCCTAACTTTCAATTTGTATGTACATGTTGTTGGTTCCAGAGAGTCAAAAAGAGAATGAAAAGAGTGAACAGAGTTCTGGAAAACATAACTAATGAGGACAGACAGAAGGAGGTAGGATGATTTAGGTCTGTGCTCTCTATGGTAACCCAGGAGCAGAACTGGAGTATATTCAGTGACCTTAAATGCAGATTCCAGTTTACAAAGTTACTTTCCAATCTAGTTTTAAGAGGTCTTGTCAGTACTGGTCTTCCAGTGTTTTGAACATTGCACATTTAGAGGAGACTGCAATATCCTCGTAAGAGTTTTACCTTGTTCTGTCCTCAGTAGGTACATGATTGTGTAAGAGTCAGTAGCTGCTTTAAATTTTGGCTACCATGCAACTATATTTAGTTTTATTCAGGATGTGGAAAATACTAATTTTAATAAAGCCATGGGTGCACCTACAATTTTTCTTACACTACTTCTGCATTGCTTCCCATGCAGTTGTTATCATGGAATTACGGCAACTAGCTTATGTCAGAGTGAGCATTTGTCCTTTTGTTCATCAATCAGTAAAGTGCATTGGTGTCTGTAGTCATGTTTCCATATCCTCAAAAGGCTTTAATCAATCCCCAAGAGCTCACTTAAGAGTAAGTGTCAATTCTATAACAGTCACTGAAACGTTAATTTCATTTAATTTAGTGGTGATTCAAAATTTGTGCTGTTTTTAATTTGTCAAGAAAAAATGAGGTGAGAAAAAAGAAAAAGAATAAATCTGAAAACAGGTCCTTTACCCACATGGCTGATACTGGTCCACAATACAGGATCTTCTCTGTCTGTCATCCTCTTTAATTGGGCCTGTGTAGATAAAGGAGGGATTAAAGTCCTCCTTTGTTTATGGGAGAGTTTCAGAGTGACTCTGCAGGCTCAGGAGCCTAATAAGAAATGGGAAGGGAGTATGGTGGGAAGTATTGCTCATGCCACCAGCACTAGCCGCAAGAGTTAGTCACGTTGCCCTCTGTGAAAATGGATCCGGTTTTATCTGAAACGGCCCATGTCAGGAAATGTGTATTTTCACCACAGATCTGAAACTGCCTACCCCAGACAAGGGCCAAAGATCCTATCACTGAGCAAATGATGAAATGGCTGTCAGCACATTCCCTTATCTTCCTTTCTCTTAACATGTGCATATTAGGAACCAAAGTGCCAAGACATTCATCCAGTCAGTCAGCACAATCCTCACATATGGTGGGAAGTCAGGGGATGATTTTGTAACCTTATTACTGATGCTTTATGAAACTTCACCTATGGTATTGCCGTGGTGGGAACAGGCACGCATATATTGCTGAGCAGGATAAAACTGACTGACAGTGCTGTCCCTGACTGGGGCATGGAAATTCATGTTTCAGGAAGTTACGAAAAAGCTCAAAAAACCTTAAACGTACTCAGTCTGGCAGTCTCTCCTTACACAGGCGTAATTGAGAGATTAGTCAGAAGGAGTCTGGATATTTAATCAATAGTGGAAAGGTACTTTTATTCTTTCCCCTTTCTCTGTCAGTCTAATTTTATATTTTAATGTAGCTTAAGAAAAGCAAATCATCAATACTTTATGTTCTGTTGAACATCTAAATTTCTGTGGGGTTGGGGCATGTGTTTAGAATTTCTGTTCATATAAATCTTGCGAAGGAAAAGTTACTAGTTGGCTTTCTTGTATTTCCCTTAGTTGACAGTTTGTTAATGTAAAAGTAAATCACTGTTGGAATGAATTTCACAGGAAGGTGCCTCTCATTACCTCTGTTTACTTTTTAGCTGTAATTTTTTGATGCTGCTGATAATTCTTTTCCCTAAAGTGTTTTGACCTTATTGCATTAACCATAACAATATTGCCTTAAAAGCACAGTGATTTTTTTCCCTCCTCTGATATGTACTTGTAGCCAAACCCAAATGGAGGTCAGTCAAACATCACA